TGATAGGTTTTTATCTGATTGTCTTTTCATTTGAATTATTTAGTTGTACTAGAAACGATGAATTTTGGAGGACCTCTCGATGGTATCTGGAGGGTGGCGTGAGAGAAACATCTCTCCAATACCTGAGTCAACAAAGACATTTTTATCACAGAAGATGTTGCGTGTTTTCTTTGAAAAATTACTCGCTTTTTGAGCAAGAGCACGTGCATATGTTGTATTTTTTACAAAATCGTTCAATACATCTGTATGTAAGTAGTTAGTGTTGATATTCAGGTGATAGATGCTGTTCATAGGGCTGCCGGCGAGCTGTGTTAGCTACAATGTGTGTGTTTTCCCTCTTAAGATCTCGTTATAAGATGATGGTCACATTGTGAAGGCCTCTCGCCGCTCCAGCGTGTTCTGTCCCCCAGATTATGAAATGGTATGCCCCTGCCTGCGTGTCATGGATGTTGTAGTTACAGCCAAATAGATTATACGGACGTGTTTGCTTGTTTGACAAAGTGGCTCTGTAGTCTATTTTAACATGTGTCAAGAGCACATTTCGACAACATGTGTGATGTGTTTTAGTGTCATTGTAATGATCGGACTATTGGTTAGTGTGTCAAATCAGCACCATTGCACTAAAAAACATTGTGGAGAGTGTTTTATGCCATGGCCTAATAACCGAGTCGCTGCTGCGCAAATGCTAAGCTGAGTCGTGCTCTCGCTTCCTGTTCGCATTGTATTCAACATTTGGAGTGGTGCTTTTTTGGTTCACTTAAATGCATGTATAAATGCGAAAGGATGAAGCTGTGCTGCTTCAAAGGCTGAAACCTGACCCTGGCCGCTTCATAAAAGGGTATTGACAGCTTTTAATATTGTACTATTCGCTATCGTTCCTCCGAAATAATTAAGTTATTACTGACTATTATTTATTTCTATGGTAGTCTCTCTATAGGTTGTGCTCGAATAGCAAAATTTGGTGTGCTTTTTATGCAGCAGCTGTTAGTTCTTTTGATCCAACGTAATTCGATTTTGGTAACTATTGAGGGGTTAGTGTATTTGGTCACAATGATCGCTGGGCAAGGCTATTGAAGCACATAGAGAATCCGTTATCCCCAATCAAATATTTAAATATTGATGTTTATTTTATTCTTAGGCAGTATAGCTCATGCCGCATTAAATTTGTTAGGTGAATTGTACGTCTACAGTGGTCCCTATGCAGGCCACGGCGACATCGTGTTAGTGCTTCTTTTCGCCAGCAATTGGACTACTTTATTTTTGTGGGATGTGTTAGGGTGTGTGGCTATTTGCACTAGTAACTTTTCAACGGATTGTTGTTCGAATAGAGATACAGCTTATGTTCGTCACATCAACACAAGCATCAGCACATTTATTATATACAAAGATAATTTATTGGTATGTAGAACAAGTGAATGATAAGGTAAAGTTCTGAATGGCATGGTAATTTTGGTCCTTTATGCGCATTACCAAGTGTTGTGTGTAGGTTCTCTTGGTTCAACCTCCTTGCTTTGTAATTAATGTCAGTAAGGGAGCATTTATTTTTTGGAACATCTTAGAGTTAGGTTGTAGTGAAGTGTTGCATGTAGTCAAGGGGTTCCCAGCTGGAATCTGGAATGGTTCTTGGAAGCATAATGGCCTGATTGTTTTCGCTCAAGTTCAAAAGTAATATGCACTAAAACTAATTCTGTTTTTATAAAAGTGGAATTTCCTTCTCTGGAGGTGAATAAAAAGGAGCATTGGGGGATTTGGCTGTCGTTACCCTCTCTTTATGCTCCCCCCA